GCTACTGCATCTTTTTACTACTATCATATTAACATTTCAAATTCCAAAAGCATGTTTTTCATCCAGATATTTTTTTCTTGTAGTCGTCTGTTCTTTTTTTCAGGAATATAATATATGCTCATATATCACATCTTTCCCTCTGTTCCCTGAATCGCCTTTGGTTCCTTTTTCTTGTCTGTTGCTGTTTTGGCTTCTGTCTTTAATGTTGGATGCTTCAGTCAGGGGAAGGGGTTTGTTGATTAGTGGATTCCACTGCCCAGTCAACTCCTGAGCCTTCATTTTGTTAGAGATTCCGCAGAAGCTAGAATCTGGACATTTCTCTGGAACCATTCAGAGTATGGGGAGAAGAATCCTATCTTCTCCTGCTAAGGTAGGAGGGAGGGTGGGATGGGGGAAAGGGAGAGTTTAAGCATGGTCACTGGTATTCTTGCAATAGAAAAGGGGAAGGAAGGCTCCTGACAGCTTCTTGTCCTCTGCACTCCATTACACCTCCTCTCTCCAAACCGGACCTTCTTGCATTGCATTTCTCTGGAGAACAAACCTCTGCTCTCTACAGGGAGGAGCACAGTGTGGAGGAAGATATTTGGTGGTTTAGTTGCTCTTGCTTTCTTCAGGCTTTCCCACAATTCTTGTTTTCAGTGCCACACCATATTCCTGCCTTTATTGGCACCTGGAGTCTGCAGTCACTCAGTCTCTGACGAATTTTGTGGGCCAAATTGACTGGACTCTGAGTGTCTTCCCCCCACTGACATGAACATTTCGGGTTCAGCTTCTCTTCCTCAGCTCTGCCAAGTTAGTTACCAATCCTCTGTTTACTTTTCATCTTGAAAAAAGTTTGAAGTCTCTTCTCTACCATTGTCTTTTTCCCAATTCTCTTTGTCATTGTGGGTTATAACCTATTTTTATTCTTTTTTGGTCATTTTGTTAGGATTTGGGGGAAAAGGGAGAGAAATATTTGCGATTGATTCATCGTGATTTACTGCAACTCTGTCTACTTCCCAAGAGCAAAGAATTCTTCCAAGAAACATGAGCTAGTTTTATTCCTTTTAATTGAAATAGTCTTTGTTCTTTTCTCCCTTGTGCCTCTTAGGGGGATTCCCACATACACTAAGATCTTCTAAGACAGAACTGAAAAGAAAAACGGAGTATTTTACCACATTACCGCAACTCTTCCTTTAGGCCTGGCTCTGGGATTTTGGAAAGATAAACTCATTCAAACATTTTTTCTCAAAAAACATTTAGACATTATTTCTGAGTTGTGTATACTTTTACTCAGCGGATCTTCCTGAATATCATTTGATTCCTAAATATCCTTCTCAAATGTCCCCCTAAATGGATATATGGTCTGTGTTTTGAGTCTGACATATCATGAACCAGGCAGGAAGGAAGACTGGGTGTTACGAGGTAGCAGGTAAATATTAGAGTTAGTGGCAACAAAGTCTAAAAATAGGGCTTCCTGTAGTGACTTCCAGAAATTTTCCAGTAAGTTCCAGTGCCATCATCTAGGGCAAATGGAAATTCAGGCATAGGGATTCAGATAAGAGGAACTTCAGGAGGACCTTTCTAAGAAAGCAGCATTTGAAACGGGACTTTCCAGACAAAGGGACCAGAAGTGCAAATGCCTTGCGTTTCTGCCAGTAAACTTGGCATGATCAGGGAACCAGAAGAAGGCTAGTATACCTGACACAATGTAAACAGAGAGAGCATTTTCAGGTGAGGAGATGTAGTCAGAGAGGCCATCAGCAGCCAGATTAACCCTGATAAAGAGTTCAGCTTGTGTTTTAAGTGGATTGGGAAGCCACTGGAGGATTGCAAGCAAGAAAGTGATTGATCTGATCTGTCTTTTAGAAAGAGCACTGTGGTAGACGATGGTCTGCAGCAAGGTAAGAGTAGAAGTAGCAAGACCAAGGCAGGAAGTTATTGCTATAATCCAGGTGAGAGACGATAGTGGCTTGGAATTAGGGAGTAGTAAAAGGGATGGAGAGAAATATATGCTATGGTGGTAGAACCCACAGGACTGCTTAGTGGATTGTATACGAGGAGTGAAGTCTGATGTGATTCTAGATTTATTTGGTAGTCTTTGACTGGTTCCCAGATTACTGGGATATTACACTTCTGAAACCCCTAGGATCGAATAAGTGACTCTTATAATTGATTAATAGGAATTTACTGACCAATTCTGTACTGTAAGAACAGATAGAGAAACTTATTTTATTGATGATCTCATCAAGTCTCCCAGTTTTATGGCTTTAAATACCTTCTGTATGGCTTATGACTCCCACATTTTTTTCTTCAAATGGACTACTTCCTTGAGCTTCAGATTCATAGCCCCAGTTGCTCACTTTCCATCCCAATGTGGCATATCCAAAACTGAGCTCATGAGCTTTCCAACCTGCAGCCCCTGCAGTCTTTCTCTTCTTCAGTTAGGGCAGCTCCATTGCTCCAGTTATTCAAGCAGAGGTGTCGGACTTATCCTGAATTCTCTCTCTCTCCCTCTCTCTCCCTTACACGCTCTATATAGTCTTTTAGGAATCCTACATTCAAAATATATTCAGAATTGGCCACTCCTCACTGACTTCCAGTGCCATTGCCCTCGTCTAAGCTGCCATTATCTCTCATCTGGATCCCCACAAGGGACTTCTAACTGTCCTTGCCACTTCTGCCTTGTCCCGTGTATTCTACTCTGAATATATCAGTCAGAGCGATCTTTTAAAAATATCGTCTTTTTAGTCTGTTTGGATTGCTATAACAACACCATCAACAAGGCGGCTTATAAACCACAGAAGTTCATTGTTCAGAGCTCTCATGGCTGGGATGTCCAAGACCAGGATGCCAACAGACTGGGGTCTGATGAGGGCCCACTTCCTGGTTCACAGATGATGCCTTGTCTCTGAATCCTTACATGGCAGAGTGGGGGCAAGAGTGCTTTCTGGGGTCTCTTTAATTAATATAAGGGCACTAATCTCATTTATGAGGGCAGAACCCTTACTTTCTAATCACCTTCCCTAAAGCCCTGCCTCCTAATATCATCACATTGATGAGGTCTCAATATATGAATTTTGAGGGGACACAAACATTCAGAATGTTGGAGGTCTCATAACCTTTCTGTATAATATGCTCCAGTGGCTCTTAGTTTTCCTCAGCATAAAAGCCAAAGGTCCTACAATGCGCTCATTCTTTGACCTTAGCTCCTATTCGGAATATTAGGAAATACTTTCTTTCAAGGCTCTGTGCTAAAAAAAAAAAGTTTATTATGAGACATCTTTAATTGAGTTTTCATTCTTCCCCCAAAACATACACAAATAAAGGAAATAATGGCCCTACATTTTGGCTATAAATATTTCCACAAACAGAGCATGTCCTTTAAAGGAGTTGAAATGACTAGTGAGCCACAATTTAAAGGATAAACAGTGGGTAGGGGGCAGCACATTGGAATTGTATCTTAGAATCCTTGGCCAAAGAAAATGTACACAAACGAATTACAGAATTCCCCTTTTGCCTCTTCTGGTCACATTGTTTATTCCATTTTATTTAGATTGATGAGGCTATGTGACTTCAGCTTATAACATTTAATTATTATGCTAATTTTTATTAGTTTATAAATATAAGCTATTAATTTTTTAATACTTTGAGAAGAAAAGAGAAAAATTTTCGACTGATTTTGAGTAATTTTAAGGGCAGGAGCCTGGAATAGGGTGCCTGGAACAATGTCTAGTGACCACTTTGTACTTTCCTTCAAAAATTGATGTTACAAGATAATTAGCCTTAAAAACTGGCAAAATGTGATCCCATAATTAGGAAATAGTGGTCAAAGGGATTCATTATTTTTGACCTGTATTTTTATGGTACAGGTCAAATAATCATTTGTTAATTTTTTTTTTTCAAAATGAAAATGGGTTGAAGTTTTTCCGATTCTAACCTTAAAACAATTCAGATGATACAGAAAAGTCTAAAGAAAAAGTAAAAATCAGAATCTCTCTTCCCAGAGATATCTTATTCTTAGTACGTAAGTCTATTGCTACCATACTTTTTTCTGTTTTTTTTAATGTAAATATAAACCTAAAGTGGGATCATAACTCTTCATGCTGTTTTACAGCCTCCTTTCTTTTTTTTTTTCTTTTTTTTTTTTTTTTTTTTGAGACAAGTCTCGCTCTGTCACCCAGGCTGGAGTGCAGTGGCATGATCTCAGCTCACTGCCACCTCTGCCTCCCTGGTTCAAGTGATTCGCCTGCCTCAGCCTCCCGAGTAGCTGGGATTACAGGCATGCACCACCACGCCCAGCTAATTTTTGTATTTTTAGTAGAGACGGGGTTTCACCATGTTGATCAGGCTGGTCTCAAACTCCTGACCTTGTGATCCGCCTGCCTTGGCTTCCCAAAGTGCTGGGCTTACAGGCGTGAGTTACCGTGCCCAGCCTTACAGCCTCCTATCTACTCAACAGTGTATCAATAACATATTTATATAATAGCAAATACAGGATCTAAACAACTCCTTTTAATGGCCACATAATAAATAATAATGATGCCTTGTATTTTTTTCAAAAAATATACTGCTAGACAAATGAATCTAGCTTACCTTAAAGATTTAGAAGGTATGCAATTTAAGAAATATAAGGACATTCTATTTTGGTGACATATAATATCAACCATTAAACTAAAAGGACCTTTAAATATTTTTAACAAAATATCGCTATAATCTTAGTTACTGAGTAAGCAAATTTGTTTCTGTGGCAACTACTAAAAGTATTTATTGAACACCTACTAAGTGCCAGCACTGACCTTGTTGCTGGGGATATTTTGATGAACTAGATAGGGAAGATCCCCACTCAGAAAATTTACATTCTGGAGGGTAAAAAAGCAATAAGAAATTGTAAGAAATAAGAAAAATATCAGACATTGAAGCATACATGGTATTATATTTTCATGGTAAAGTTGAGGCTGACATTTTGGTCTTGAATTCTGCAGATTGAGTCAAATTATATATTATAATTGTATTTTCAGGTTTGAAAACAGTGAAAAACAAATAGATTATAAATCATTTTTCTCTACCCTGGACTGGAGAAAGAATCCAGTGCCTGAACTGCATGCACAAGAATACCTTAAACAGGTAAAATTAATGCCTATTTTTAAAACTATCTATGGTTACTTCGTTGCATGTTAAATATCTTTAAATTATTTTTCATTATGAAATATTAACATCAGTGCTTTTGGAAAGAATGCTTATGTGTTTCTGGGTATTTGTGTTAAAGGCTAATTTACTTTCCATGCTGAGCAAACATCTGCTCTTTAAGAGCATGACTTTTCTTATGCAGCTGATTTTTTTTTTAACCTCAGTCGCATCCAATTATATGGAAAATAGGATAATAGGTTACAGTTATAAATAGATATAAACACTGTTATCAAGGGATTCTGGTAACATCATCATAAGCCACAAGAGCAAATCCCAAATGGTGCCTATGTCAAGAATCCCTAGGGTATCTGTGGCTGTGTACACAGGTTTGCCGTGGGTGAAACAATTGAGTTTGGGGATGTACATTTCACAGTGGAGCCAAATTTAAAATCAAAATTCCACAGAAAAATGCTTGGTTAGGGAAAACAAAGTTCATGTGATCAGATGGTGCTCTCAACATTGTGGAATTGTCTGAATTCTCTAGGATCTCTTTGGACCAATTGTCTTTAAGAAGTGGGTGGGTGGGTGGTGGTTTGTTTGTATTTTAACATGCTCCAGAAATTGATTTTCTTGGGAAAGTCCCTTGATAAAGCAAATGTCATGTGGTTGATACTCCCAGAAAGGAGGCATTTATTTCTCCCGGTCTCTGCTGACCAGTTCATTCTGGCTAGAGCTAGTCTAGTGCCCCAGGGAGTTCCCTCAGGCATGCAGCTACTCCAAGGGCGACAGTAGAACTTCCACATGGTTGGGGGAAAGCAGTGGCCTTTGGAGTCAAACAGAGCTGGGGTTGAATTTTGGCTCTGCCACCTTCTGAGCTGAATGACTGTGGATCAGTAAAGTTACTTACCTTCTTCATTTATGAATGTAATCAGTAAAGTTACTTACCTTGTTCATTTATGAGTGAAAATTGACATTGCTACCTTTGAGGGGTCCACTACTGATGGGGGAATTGATACGCTCATGATTTGGAGTGTGATGTGATACAGCCTGCATGGGATTCTATGGAATGACGAAGTAGCTGCTTCTAAACAGACTGGGGCGAACAGGAAGTATTTTCAGGGGAGATGACACTTGAAATTTCAATGATGAGTAGTAAGAGTTAGCAAGGTAGGAAGGTGACGTGGTCTGGAAAAGGCATTTCCAGAATTCTCAGGACATGGGAGAGCATGGTACTTTTACAGAACCAGGAGGAACTGGTGTGACCAGAATGGAGGCATATGGGGAAGAGTTGAAAAGGATGAAGCTGGAGATACCTGCAAGGGTGACATTTGAATATTGTCCTGTGAGGTCTGGAGACCACTGACTAAATCAGGGAAGACAGCAACATGATCAAGAGTGCCCTTTACAGAAAACTTGCTTTGGCTGGTTGGTGGGTGGACTGGAGGTGGGGATGGAGACAGGCAGACCCACTGGAAGGCTTTTTTTTTTTTTTTTTTTTTCTGAAAATGGAGTCTCACTCTATTGCCCAGGCTAGAGTGCAGTGGTGAGATCTCAACTCACCACAACCTCCACCTCCCAGGTTCAAGAGTTTCTCCTACCTCAGCCTCCCGAGTAGCTGGGATTACAGGTGTGTGCCACCACACTCGGCTAAGTTTTGTATTTTTAGTAGAGTAGAGACAGGGTTTCACCATGTTGGCCAGGCTGGTCTCAAATTCCCGGCCTCAAGTGATCCGCCTGCGTTGGCCTCCCAAAGTGCGGAGATTACAGACGTGAGCCACCACACCTGGCCATGGAGGCTCCTGATGTCCTGTTGTCCCCATAAATAACAGCGAACACTTAAAGCGTTTACTAGGTGCCAACTACTGTTCTAAGATCTCAAAATCACTTAGCTTATTTAATCCTCTTAGCAATCATAGGCGCCTTTATTATTCCCAGTTTAGAGGTGAGGAAGTTAGAGAAACAGCAATATAAAGCAGAGTCAGAATTTTAACTCGGGTCTCTTTTGCTTCAAAGAATAAAAAAGAAAACTGTCCTTTAAATAGAATTATTTTTGAAGATCCTGGATTGGATTAACTCAAATCTAAAATACTGTCACAAAAACAAACCAATACTGTCATTTGCCCTGATAGCCCTTTAATTATTATCCATGTGAATATTTAATTTTTACATGCAAATAAAAACATGATAGATGGGATTTATATTCTTCTACCTTTTCATTGAATATTTTAGTACTCTGTATTGGATGCGTCCCCCACAGTGTCCCTTTAGGACTGCTCTCCAGAGCCCTCTACCGTGCTCTGAGCCTGCCCAGGCCAATCCTTGGCAGCTGACCTTTGTAGGCCACATCAGTGTGTCCCCTGGCCCTCTGGCCTCCAGTTGTGTTGGCCAGCGGGATGCACCAGCAGGAGACTAGAGGGTGAGAGGAGAGAGAAATCTTCTTCCTCCCTGCCAGTCACAGCAGATCGACGGCCTCCTCCTTCCAAAGTCTACAGCACTTGTCTAGAGGCTCTTTCCATATGGCTGCCCACTCCAGGTTCTGATAACCACCCTCATGTGCCCCTTCAGCCCCATGTGGTAGTAATGGCTCCCTGCTGTTATAAACCCAGGGGACTATCCTCTGTTGGTTTTTCTAAGCACTTTGCACAACTTTGTAACTAGTCACTCTATTAAACTCTTCCCAATTTCCAGTTTGCGCATGTCCTCCATTGCCCATGAGACCCTGAATATACAGGACATACTTATTTTTGCTATAAGCTTCTGTAGTTCTTTTCCTTACTTTCTAATTCTCTCTTTCCTCTTCCATTCCACTCAATCCACCACCAAAATGTTTACCTCTGCGTTGGGGGTCTCATTGTTTCATCGTGCCTTGTCTGAAAATAAGATCATACCACATGCATTTATTGGCAGTGTGCTTTTCTTTCTTAAACATGGGAAATTCTCCTAGTTTAATGTGTATAGCATTCTTAATAGCTGTAGTGTGAATATATAATAATTTATTAATCTGTTTTTTATTGACAGGCATTCAGGTTTGTTTTGTTTTGTTTTTACATATTTTGCCTCTGAAAACGTAGTATTTTATTACTTTAATTTTTATTTCCTTATGACTATTGAGTTTGAATGAAAGCCAATCATCTTTTTATACTACAACCTACAGTAAGAAAGCTATTTTTTTCATAACAACACAGCATGCACATATATAATGGAAGAAAAGTTTCACAGAATAATACTGTTCTGAATACATGTGGTGCAGTATGACATACTCATTTCTTTTTTCATTTCTCTCTTCCTTTCTTTTCTTTTCCTTTTTCTCATTCCCCACCACCTCTTTTTTTTCTCTTTTGAATGTTGTTCATGACCCACTAAATTGATTTCATTACCTACAAAAAGAGCACCATCCGTGCTAGAAGAGTAGCCACTGCATGGGAAGGCCAAAGATCCACTCTGCCTTTAATCACTCCTCCCCAGTTTTATCACTTATCAACTCTGTCAACTGGGACAGGTATTGAGCCCTGGACCTCAGATACTTTTGAGACACAATGTAGAACAGAAAGTCTGCAATCACAGAGACCCTAGTTCAAATCCTTAGATCTATGATCAACTAACTGGGTGACTTTTAATGAATTACTCAACCTTTCAAGTTTTTCCATCTCAAAAATGGAGATAAGAATAATTCTTCCATTAGGGTTGTGAGGATTAAGGAAGTCAATATACATGAGTCACTTATCACAATACCTGTCCCAGAATAAGGACTTAAGTGTTAGATGCTATTATTTTTTGTAAAATGGAGATGTCTTACTTTCCTCAATTCAGGGGACTGGGCAGTCCCTTTTGAGGTTAAGATGGATGATTCTATGGCAAGAGAATGGTTCTAGGTTAGGAATGTTACATCAGAAACAGCTTGTGCTTCAGCACTAGGTTCTTCTAATTGCAATTCATTTATGGTGAGAACTTTACTTATAGGGTCTCATCAATTCTGCTGATAAAGCCTAGAAATGTTTCAGTCTGCAGGAGACATTTGAGACATATGGAAAGGACTATTCTTTTTTTTTTTTTTTTTTTTTTTTTTTGAGACAAAGTCTTACTCTGTCACCAGGCTGGAGTGCAGTTGTGCGATCTCGGCTCACTGCAACCTCCACCTCCCAGGTTCAAGTGATTCTCCTGCCTCAGCCTCCCAGGTAGCTGGGACTACAGGCACGTGTCACCATAGCCAGCTAACTTTTGTATTTTTTGTAGAGACAGGGTTTCATCATGTAGGCCAGAATGGTCTCAATCTCTTGATCTCATGATTCACCCACGTCAGACTCCCAAGATGCTGGGATTACAGGTGTGAGTCACCACACCCGGCAGAAAGGACTATTCTTTTTCAGCCAATTAAAAAAAAAATTAAATAGACATAAAATGCTACCTGATCAGTTTCACCAATGAGAACTTAACTAGATTCCAAAGAGTTCAAAGCACTCTGGTACTGATAAGCTTGTTATTATTTCATAAAGAAGACATAAAATAGCTTGGGAATGTTATCAATCAGTCTATAATCTCATGTGAAAATATTAGCATGACTGGGTTGAGCACAATGTTGAATAGTTTATACAGTAGAATACAGTAGCAAAAAGCATAATATCTACTGACTCATGTAAGTGTGCTCAAATGTTATTAATAATGTTGAATAATGCCCTGAAACACTGCTGGGTCAGAGTTTGTCACAGGTTAGGTTCCCCAGGAAGCAGATGGAGTCTAATGTGCAGGATGTTTATCTGGGAGTGTCCTTGGGATCAACTCCCATGGAAGATAGGGGAAAGAAATAAGAGTGGGCAGAGGGAAAAGTTGAACTGCGATGCAAGCCCAAAGATAGCTTTGGCTGACTCATGGGGAGTTCTGGAGTTAGCACATCTTTTCAGAGTTGTCCTGAGTTGGGCCAGAATGGCCTGGCCTTTGTCCCAGTGGGTTGGTTCAAGAAAAGATATGACTTTGTGCAGAGTGGCTCTCTGCAGCCAAGA